TTCCTCCTCCCTCCCCCTCCCCCTCCCCCTCCCCCTTTCGCGTGTGATTGATAGACCTTCCGTTGTTCCCTTTTGGGACTGAGGCCACTTTGGGTCAGTGAGTGGGAGAGGGTCAAGGGACAAGGAGGGGAGAGAGGCGTGGAGGGGGACGAAGAAAGGAGAGGAATGAAAAGGAAAGAAGAGCGATGAAGGGAGAAGGAGGGAGAAGGACGAAGACGAAAGAAGGACGAGGAAGGGAGAAGGACGAAGACGAAAGAAGAACGAAGAAGGGAGAGGGATGAAAAACAAGGAAGGACGAGGAAAGGAGATGGACGAAAGCGAAGAAAGGAAGAAGGGAGAGAGACGAAAACGAAAGAAGGAAGAAGGACGAGGAAGGGAATGGGACGAGCAAAAGAAAGGGAAGAGGAGCGAAAATGGACGAGGTGGTGAGAGGGACGTGGCGAAAGGGGGACAAGGAAGACAGAGAAACATAAAGGGGAGAGGGACGAAGAGGGAACAGGGACGTGGAGGGAAGAAGGACGAGGTGGGGAGAGTGACGAAGAGGGGAAAGAGAGGAGGAGGGGAGAAGGGCGTTGAGGGAAGAATGACGAAGAGGGGAAAGAGAAGAGAGAAGGGGGGAATAAACGAGGAATAGAAGGAATAGGAGTGGAGAGTGGAGAGCTACTATAGGAGGAAGAGGAAGAGGTGGAGGATTTTGGAAGGCGAAGAAGTGGAAGAGAAAAAGAGGGAAGAGTAGAACAAGGAGGTAAAAGGGGAAAGCTAAATGGAAGAAGTAGAGGAGAAAGATTAGAAAGAAGGGTAGGAGGTAGAGATTGAGGGGTAAGGAGAAAGAGGAGGAAGATGAGGTTGAAGATAAGGATGAGGAGCAGAAGGAGGACACGCAAGAGAAAGAACGAAAAAAAAAAGAATGAGAGCGAGAAGTGGAGGAGAGGGTCGATCAGTCTCTCTAAGATTTATCAGCCTTGTGTTTTTTCTTTATCTCATTCCATAAAAAAATATCGAGTCGTACTTTCATGCTGACAACACCTCCCCCCCCTTCCCATCCCTCCCTACCCTGCCGCTCCCCCCCCCCTTTGATCCCCCCCGACACACACACCCGTCCCCTATGCCTCTCATCCTTCCTTTCCCCTCCTCCCTCCCTCCCCCCCAACACTTATACCCCTCCCCCCCTACCACTCATACCCCTCCCTCCCTCCCCCCCAACACTTCTACCCCTCCCTCCCTCTCTCCTCCCTCCTACCACTTATACCCCTCCACCATCCTCCCCCCCCACCCCTTAATCTACTCATCCCTCTCCAACTTCTCCCCCCCTCCCCCTCCCCCCACCCCTCTCCCCCCGACAGGTGTGACTGGTAAATAGCACAGGAACACACGAAGCTATGCGATCAATTGCGCTTTCTTGTTAATTTATATGTGTGGAACGAATCGATATTTCTACTCACGCAAGTGGGGGGAGTAAGGAGGGGGGAGGGGGGGGAGGGGAGGGGTTCATAGAATGAGTGATGTTGGGGGAGGAGGGGAGGGGAAGAGGAGGGGGAGGGGTAGGGGAAGGGGAGGGAGAGGGAGGGAAAGGGGGAGGGGGAGGAAGAGGGAAGAGGGGGATTGAGGAAAAGAGAGGGAGAAATAGAGAGAGAGGAAGAGAGAGAGAGAGAGAGAGAGAGAGAGAGAGAGAGAGAGAGAGAGAGAGAGAGAGAGAGAGAGAGAGAGAGAGAGACAGACAGACAGAGAGAGACAGAGAGATAGAGAAAGAGAGAAACAGACAGAGAAAAAGAGAGATGAATTATTTCCTTCACACATAAACACTCAATATGACAGAAACATAAATCGAAAGAAAAGGGATGTTGAGATTAAAAACAAAACAAAACAAAACAAATCCCACATCCACTTCGACGCAGACAGATAGGCCTTTTAATTTACGGCAAAAAAAATGGAAAATAACAGTAGCTCTCCTGGTGTAGCGACTGGTTAGAAGCCTGTCACTCTGTCACTGACTGTTGCTCCGGGAAAGGTTACGCGCCGCACGTCACTCACGACTGGACAGCTACGTCATCTGGCGTTATTGTGTTCTCTATATCTGTCTGAGGAAGATGAGGGGGGGGGAGGGTTGGGGGAGTAGGGGTGGAAGGGGGCAAGGGGGAAGTGCGGCGGGGAGGTCAGGAGGAGAGTGGGGGGAGGGTGGATGAGGGGGGGAGGGTGCGGCGGGGAGGTCAGGAGGAGAGTGGGAGGAGGGTGGATGGGGGGGGGGGGAGGGTGGAAGGTGGATAGTGGGGCGGGTGGTGGAAGGTGGATGGGGGGTGGAAGGTAGATTATGGGGGGGAGGGGGGGTCAGAGGAAGTGGGCTGGAAGGAGAGGGGGGGTGAGGGAGTGTGGTGGAGGGGGAGGGGGGGGTGAGGGAGTGGGGTGGAAGGGGAGGGGGGGTGAGGGAGTGGGGTGGAAGGAGAGGGGGGATGAGGGAGTGGGGTGGATGGGGAGGGGGGATGAGGGAGTGGGGTGGATGGGG